TGACGTGCTGAAAGCTGCTGCAGCTGGATGGGCTGGATGCTATACCGAGTTATGCGCCAAGGGATGAATGTCTGGAACGCAAGAGAACCCTGAGCGCATTTGACCCTAGCATTAGTACCACTCAGTATAGTTTCCAGCCCCAGCAGCTTTCAGCACTCATTAACTTTGACAGGCTGTGGGCAGTAGGGCTAGAACCGGCAGCTGTGCCCCTCTCCCCTCTACTACCACCAAGGCCACAACAGGCTAAAAGCCTACTGTACATGTGACCTAAACCAGTATTTCACAACCTTTGTTCAGTTGTGGCACCCTTTAAAATTCTTCACCCCATTCTAAAATGTAAAAATCTAAACTAATAGTTTTAATAGAACACAGCAATATCCACACACGTAGGGAACCAACATTAGAGATGATTTATTCTTCCAAAGCAAATACACCTTTGCACACTGGTACTGACTAGTATTCCAGTGTTTCCCTTCTCCCTTAATTTCTCTCCCTCACTTAGCTAATGTGACCCCAGTACTGATAGATGGGTTGAGGGGGGGAAACAAGGATGCTGTGCAGGTGCCCAACATCCTCTTTATCAACCAATGACGCCATCGGTTAGGACGCCTGCAATTGGAAGGTTGTAATGATGCAAACCTGTGGGTTTATGTAATTGAAAGGCAGACTTGATCCACCCGCTGGCTTGTGTACAATTGTTTAGTCAATTTTTAGGTACCTCTAAAGAAATTTTTCAGCATGCTTGAAATTGTGTGTGCAATTCATTCAGAGAAACAGCAGAAGGAGAAAAATAAGACTTCTGATAAGAACTCACAGGTTTGATATGGATATTGTTCTCTGATTATGCAATGCTACTAAAGAAAATGTTATGTATGGCTGGATTAAAGGTAACCTGTGTTTACCATAACCCACCTAAACTGCAGGTAGCCATGTAGCCATGCATAACAGACTCCTAGAAATGTCTACGCACAGATCAGATACCTTGTAGACTCCTTGATATTTTTATTATGTATATATTTCAAATAAGCAAACCTTTGAACATATATTTTGTTTACATTTGTAGTTGTCTAGAACCATCAGATTAGTTCATACTTTTGTGTACCTTGAATTCTGGAGAGTACAACTCAAAGTTTATCTTTATCAAGTTGTAAATGTTTCCTTGACAAGAGAACCAAAAGCTTCCAACTCTAACAGTGACAGCAATAAGGCCAGACTGACAGCAGGGGTGGGGGGTATTTAATAAAGGAGCATTAAAACCCAGTTCATATTGCTGCGACTTATAATACGACTTGCAACACATAAAGTTGCATGGCAAACACATTCATTTCAATGGCATTTCAGTGCTATCTCAATCAAGTCAGAGCAACAAAAAAAAAAGGTTCCTGCACTACTTTTCTGTGACTATGGTGCAACTTGATTGCCATACACTGCAATGTTAAATCACAAAATTTGCACTCAAGTTGCAAGGAAGTCACAAGGAAATTGCAAGCATGTTGTAAGTTTTTGGGATCGCTGCAGTGTAAAGCGAACCATATTGCTCTTGGTCCTATGAAGTCGCTTTAAAGTGTTACTAAACCCAGGTCCCTACATTCACTTTATCTGTTCTCCCACAGTACACAGAACATGCAAGTGCAATTATTTTAGTAAATACAAACTGCTAAATACCTTTTCTCATCAACAGTTACAGCAGTCGTGTGACTTCTATCAGCGTCCAGCTGAGCACATGTTAAAGCTTGTAGGAGGAATTTTCATTCTGCTCTAGGAAGATGCAGGACCCCTGAAATCTGTCTGGACAGTGCTGATTGGCCCTGTGCTGATCACATGCACACTCCCAAAAAAAACCCCAAACCCCCACCTCTGTAGCAATACACACCAAACTGTGCATGTGCAGAGTGACTCCACACGATATGTCTTATCAGAAGATAAAAGGGGGACACTGGAAGAAGGGGAGGATCACAGAAGTCAGAATCAAACATCCTTTTTACACAATGTGGGGGATTGGCCCCTTAGCTTCCACATTGAGTATAATAAGCATGCTTTACTGCATATACAGACTGATTTTACTGTTGTGGGTTTAGTAACACTTTTAGGTTGTAAGCAATGGTTACAGCTTCATTAAACTGTGTATAAAGTAAACATTATGTCACTTCATCAAAGTGTTTCGAGATCAAAATCTTCTTTATCCTTATTCTTTATATAGTGTGCTTATATCCTGTGTCAGTGTACATGTACTTAAAAGTGAATTCTCCGTAGATACAAAAGTTACAAATGAATGCAATGCTCATTGACTGTATTTTTTTTAATGGAAGCAGTGTAAATACCTGAATTTAATGGTCTCGGCCTCATGATGTGTCTACTAAATGGCAGAGCTCTGAGAAGGGGAGGGATAAGCTGCACAAAGAGCCAACCGGGTGTGGTGCTGTGCAAGAAGCGTCCTGATAGGAGGAGAAGGCAGAGTGACAGAGAGATGAGCTCATATATGTGTTTCCTTTTTTTTTCACTGTCCAGCCATAAAGCGAGATCTGTAAGTGAAAGTGAAAATGCAGCAGGGAAAGCTCACTCCCACTTTTTCCCTGACAGGCAGGTCTGTGTTGTGTTAAAGAGCTGTGTAAATCGAAGGAATGGATAGGCAGAAATACAAATCCTTTGGCAAGGCAGGCTGTGTTATACTGTATGTTTTGTTTTGTGTATTCAGCTGTTTTCTGATGTTTCACTTTAACAAAGACCCCCACATTAATATGCATAACTAGCAAGAAACACTATTCTTCCATATCGCCCAGGAAGTGTTTTCCTGAAGTGCCTCTTCTAATTGTTGCAGATTGTCGGAGATGTTTTTTCTTTTTAAGGGCTTGCTTGTATTTTTTCTGTATGGTGCCACGGGTTATCCTGTGTTTGTTATTTGAGTCTCTTTCTCTCTCTCTCTCTCTCTCTCCTCTCTCTCCCTCTCTCTTCCCTCTCTCTCCCTCTCTAATTCCCCCTCTCTATCCCCCCCCCTCTCTCTCTCCTCTCTCTCTCCTCTCTCTCTTCCCTCTCTCTATCCCCCCCTCTCTCTCTCCCTCGCTCTCCCTCTCTCCATCTCCCCCTCTCTATCCCCCCCCTCTCTCTCCCCCCCTCTCTCTCTTCCCTCTCCCCCTCTCCCCCCTCTCTCTCTCCCCCCCTCTCTCTCTCCTCCCCCCTCTCCCCCCTCTCTCTTCCATCTCTTCCCTCTCTCCCCCTCTCTCTTCCCTCTCCCCCCACCCCTCTCTCTATCTCTCTTCCCCCCTCTCTCTCTCTCCATCTCCCCCCCCCCCTCTTCTCTTCCCCCCTCTCTCTCTTCCCCCCCCTCTCTCTCCATCTCTCTCTCCCCCCTCTCTCTCTCTCTCTCTCTCTCTCTATCTCTCTCTATATATATATATATATATATATATACAGTAACCACGTAATCTACTTTGAACTTAGACTATGATGGCCCACCATTTAACAGATTTTTTGCCATACATGCTTAAGGTTAAAACAATCTACAAATTCAGCACCTACAGCCTCATGCAAGGAACAATATAAATGTTTGTCCGATAACTAATTTAATGTCTAAACTGATTTAAAAGCAGAACCTAAGGCGTGGAATGTAAATTGAGCTGCTCATGCACAGCTCAGTGAAATTCTGCAGAGGATTGCAAATATGCAGGTAAGTGTACTTTATTGCTGATGAGACGTTGCATGTCCCTTCTGTAATAGAAAGACTGCCTGTTCACTTTTTTTTGTTACATTTAGTTTCATTTTTACTTTTAGTTTAGTTTTCATTGTAATTTTTTAGAAATAATGCCTGCTTATGGTTAGCATACAGTAACAAAGCAATGTATCAATACTAACAGCTTTAAAACCCCTGCCATACAATTTCACGTACAAGATGTATCACCCACAATTCGATGTCTGGCTTGGATTCCTTTTAGGCTGCATTCACAGAATAAAAGTGTGGGACCCAACTTTCACACTTTTGAAAAAAAGTGCTCAACATATCTTTGCATTGTTAATTGCAAGCAGAACCCTGATTCCACACCCTTTTTTGTTTTATGAAATACAAAATAAACGCCAGTATATATCTGATTGCATTTATTATAGTCAGGGCTTTTTTTTTTCAAGATAATATGTGTGCAGGTACTCTTCCCTTCTGAGTCACCCCTTGTCTCCGCCTCCCCCATACCCACCTCTGAGCACCATCCCTTGGTTCCACCCCCTACCCACCTCCCAGTATCGCCCCTTTTTCAAAATTAATTAAGAATTAAGTATCATTTTGTGGTGCTAAGTAATTTGTATGAAATTTGATGATAAATGAATAATGATAACAAGAAAAGAAGTCAAATAGATTACCAGCAGCCTGCAACAATAGATCTCCCCCCACCAGCAACAATAGGCCTTCCCAGCAACAATATATACCCCAGCAACAATAGATCCCCAGACAACAATAGATGCCCCTCAACAAAATGCCAACAAGCAACAATAGATCCACCCAAGCAAAAATACACCTCAAGAGGTTCTGCCCATCAGCAACATTAGACCTCTTCCTCAATAGTAGACCCCTTCCCAGAAAAAAATGACGCCCCCAGCAACAATAGATCTCCCACCAGCAACAACAGATCCCCCAGCAACAAAAGATCCCCCACCAGCAACAATCGACCTCCCCAGCAACTACAGATTTCCCCAGCAGCAAGAGATCCCACCATCTGCTAGCATCAATAGACCCATCTAGCACACTTCAGCACCTTTTGCCATTATATACAGTGCATTCAGTGTTGGAGGTGTCGCCGCCCTGCATTCCAGCTAAAGAACAAATCCCTGATTATAGTGTACTGGATCATATGGCTGTTTTTAATAAAACCCCACAGAACTTTTGAGGATCAACTTTAAGTTGGCCATAAGTGGCTTGAATTTTGAGCTTTAAAGTGTTACTAAACCCCTGACCCGTGACTGCATTCACTCTATCTGGTCTCCCACAGTACACAAAACATGGAAACGCAATTATTTTAGTAAACTTAACCTGCTAAATACATTTTCTCATCAGCAGTTAGAGCAGTCTTGTGACTTCTGTCAGTGTCCAGCAGAGCACTGGTTAAAGCTTGTAGGAGGAGTTTTCATTCTCCCCTGATTGTCCTATTAGGCTGCATAACCCCTGACCTTCTGTCTGGACAGTGCTGATTGGCCCTGTGCTGATCACATGCATTCTCCCAAGAAAAAAAACTCTAGCAATACACAACAAACTGAACATGTGCAGATTGACCCCAAGGCTCTGTTCTATCAGCAGATGGATTGGGGACAGTAGAAAGGGAGGATCAGAGAAGACAGGATCAAACAGCCTTTTTTTACACAAATCGGAGGATTAACCCCTAATGTTCCACAGTGAGTATAAAAAAACATGCTTTACTACAAATACAGATTGATTTTACTGTTGTGGGTTTTGACACTTTAAGCCCCCGTTCACATATATGCGGCCGTGCAGGCCATGTTTTGTGCAGGCACGGTAGCCCATTCATTTGAATGGACTCCCGTGTCCCGTGAAACGCAGAGAAGACGTCCCTGCACTTCTTACGAAAACAAACACAACAAACACTTTACTCCTGCGCTAGGAAAGGACTCAGTAGACCCAATAGGAATGTTCTGGAATTTTCTGGAATATGCACTGCTTGCTGCCCTCAACAGACCGGGGTGGTCTGAATACACTGGATACAAATGGAAAAACAGAAAAAGGGCGCACCGACCTAGTGCATTATCGTTTAAAATAATTTATTAAAGAAACAAAAATAGGTATCATACTCACAATGGATATAATAACACAGGCATGTCAAACTGAACAAGGTGTATAATCCGAACAACATCTGAGTCCATACGATGGAACCCTGGATGACCAACTGGTTGGCTCTGAGGAAGAGGTTGTGTCCTCGAAACGCATTAGCCAGTTGGTCATGCAGGGTTCCATTGTATGGACTCAGATGTTGTTCGGATTATACATCTTGTTCAGTTTGACATGCCTGTGTTATTATATCCATTGTGAGTATGATACCCTATTTTTGTTTCTTTAATAAATTATTTTAAATGATAATGCACTAGGTCGGTGCTCCCTTTTTCTGTTTCTCCACTTCTTACGAAAACGCAGCCCTAGGGGATGGTTCCCAGTGCGGGCGGCGTGTCATTAGAACTAATTGCACCCTCCCACGGGTCCGCATTTCTCTGTGCGGGTGGTGCGGTTGCACGGATTTTCATGTGGATCCGCAGCAGCACCACCCACACAGATGTGAACCTAGCCTACGTGGACCTGCTGACATCAGCTGACTTGACAAATTTCGACTGGGAAATCAAAGGAACAGGGCAGAAAACGTTGGCCAAACAGTGACCGAAGCCAATCAGCTGCAGCCACTATTTGGGTATTTTGACACTTGGGAGTGCCGGCTGTCAGACTACAATAGCCAGCAGCTGAAGATTCATCCCTTCACGCTGTTTAGTGTTGATGGAGGAATCTACGGATTTCTTATTTCTCACGCTTTACATGTATGGCAGCCTTAAATTTCCCGAGACTTGTCAGATGTCAGATTTAGGCTGAAAAATGTAAATATGGGTATATAAATAACTTACTAGTAACTCCCCAACTCTTACATTAGATTTGAAATAGGTTTCATGGGAAGCAGATGAAGGGTGGTTTCATTTGTTTGCAGAGGTAGGCTAGCTGTTCTGCCTGTTGCTGTGCCATACATTCAGGGTGGTTTGCTGTGTTATTCCAGGTGGTGACATTTCTCTTCCAGACCATTGGAAGCTGTTTTTTTTTCCCCCCTCTCTCTTTATGAGGTACTAGTAATTCTTAACTCGTTTGGTGCTTTAAAAGTCACAGTCATTTTTTTTTTTTTTAATAAAACGTTAATTGGCCTCACAGCAACACCACCATATTTACTAAAATCCCGTATGCCCGTGACAAAATACGCTTGTTTATTTTTAAGTGAGTAACTTTATTTCAGGCAGCTGCATCTACTTTACCATGTACACACTGTTTTCATTTAAGAAGCGCAGTCAGGATGTCTGAATAAACAGATGCAGAAGATATTTCCTGAATTTTTTTACAAGCTTACTTACTGTTACAGAAGCATTCAGCAGGTCTGAATTTGAGATGTTAAAGGATGGCTGAACCCAAGAGCAATAATGTAATATGTTGCAGCTTACAGTCCTTTGATGTGGTGGCTGAATTTGTTTTCCCTTTATTTTTCAAGCTAAGAACTTTTTTTTTTTTTTTTTTAGCAAATACAGAAAAAGTCTGTTGATCCTGCCAATAATGCAGTGTTCTTGACACTTCCTGTGAGCTGCCCTGAAGAATATCTTCCTTCCTAGCTATCATCTGTAAACCGCCAATTGCCTTGTTCCAATGTAATAGAGGTGAAGAGATACAGACATGTTTGTAGTCCACATCAGGAGAGCAGCCCAGAGTGACAACCATGGCTCCCTCCATAGAGCGATGTAGCCACCCAGGGACAGGAAGTGTGTTATTTGCAGGATTACCATGAGAAAATAAATCAAAAGAAGCTTAGAAAAGAAAACAAATGTATCCCACCACACCAAGGACCAGTAAGCTGCAATATATTACATTTTTGGTTTTGAATTTAGCTACACTTTAAAGTGTGATGATCACTGGAAAAACAATTCTGAAGTATTTCCCAAAGTCTTTTTTAAGTCTTAGATAGAGGAGATGAAAATGAAAACCTCTCTCAGGAGACACCATAGGAAATCACTCCAAAGTAAGAGGAAATCCCCTTTTAGACAGTTGTCACCAGAACAGGTGTCCCTATGGAAAGATTTTAGATTTGCTATTACTTTAGACATCTAGATAAATAGGAGTTGATTTACTAAAAGGAAACTTCACTTTGCAAAGGAATTTTTCCCAGAGCTTAGTGAATGAGGTGAAGCTCTGATGACTGTCTCATCCAATCATGTGCAAGCAAAAATTCATTTTTTTAATGCTTTCTGTGGGTATTGTTTGCAATGTAAAATGTGACCACATTCACTATGCTCGGGGAAAGTTCCCATACTAAGTGCAACTTCCCTTGCAAAATTGCAGGACTTGGGTTGTTGGTTTGAATTGTGATCACGACACTACCTGCCTGCAGTTTACATGTTCTCCCTGTGCCTGTGTGGGTTTCCTCCAGGTTCTCCAGTTTCCTCCCACACTCCAAGACATGCTAGTAGGTGAATTGGCTCCTGTCTAAATTGGCCCTAGTATATGTATGTATGAATGTAAGTTACGGATTGTATGCCCCTTGAGGGTTAGGGACTGATATGAATGTACAATATATATGTAAAGCGCTGCGTAAATTGACGGTGCTATATAAGTAGCTGTAATAAAATAAAAAATAAAATGGACAACCTATTTGCCTCAGTAAATTAACCCTACAGAGAGGGTGAACCTTGCTAGTGTTGATGCAGACATCAATAAAATCTGGTATCTTCTACCTTGCTTCTTCTGGATGCCAAGCTGTGGGCAGCTTCATTGGCCAGCGCAAGATGACATCACTCCTATGCGTGCAAGTCTGAGCCAGAATGTAAACTGAGCTGTGCTTCTGTAACTTAGTTTGCATTCCAAAGAAGACTGCAGGTAGGTTTATGTTATTACAGAAGAGACTTTAATTTGGCTTTAAAGTGATTGTAAACCCTCACCTTGTAAACCAACCCATTCTATTCAAAACAGAAATGAAAGGCAAAACATTTGCATACAGATATAAAAAACATTATAAATACCTGTTTTCCCCTTTTTTATAAGTATTCACATTCCCTCTGTTCTCAGCTGCATAAGGGCTGGAGGAGTAAAAGCAGCACACTGATCTTCCCAGTGAAAAGCTGTGCCAGGGGGTGTAGGGACAAGCATCATCATTAGAGTGGGCAGAGTTCTCAGCACACCTAGGGACCTGACCACACTGTGCTTTTGTACCTCCTAGATTGTAAGCTCCAAGGAGCAGGGCCCTCCTAACCCTCTTATATTGAACTGTATTGTATTTATTTATTTCAGGTACTTATATAGCACTGTCAGTTTACACAGCACTTTACACATATATATAGAACATTCACATCAGTCCCTAACCCTCAAGGGGTGTACAATCTAAGGTCCCTAACTCACATTCATACATATATTAGGGCCAATTTAGACAAGATCCAATTAACCTACCAGCATGTCTTTGGAGTGTGGGAGGAAACTGGAGCACCTGGAGGAAACCCACACAAGCACAGGGAGAAACATGTAAACTCCATGCAGGAGGTGCCATGGTTTGGAATTGAACCCATGACCCATTTTTGCAAGGCAGACATGCTAACCACTAAGCCACTGTGCCACCCAATTGTTTCCTGTTATATTGTAAAGTGCTGAGCAAACTGTTGGTGCTATATAAATCCTGTATTATAATAATAATAATAATAATAATAATGTGGTCAGTTTTTAATAGAAAAGCAGAGGGACTGGCAGGCACACCAGGGATTTCACACAAAGGAAGCAATACAAAGAGAACAGGGTACTTTTTCATACAAGTACATGGTACGGCAAGAACATATCAGGAATATGAAATGTTGGGTTTACATAGTCTTTACACATAAGACCAATCGCTGAGTGATTACAGAGGTTCCAACATTTTAGAAAACTGTGTGTAAGATAATGAGAAAGGCCAGGGACAGGCAGATCACCGCCTTAGAACAATGGTTGGTGAGAGATCTACCCAGCATTTCAGTATTCCTATACTCATTGGAAGCTTTTTAACACTTGTGCCATGTTCACTAGGTTAAGAACAATATCTCCCACATTGGAAACCTCTGTTTGGGTTGATTTACCAAAGGCAAATAGAGGTTTCACTTTTCAAGGAAATTTCCCTCAACTTAGTGAGACAGGTGAAGACCTGTTGACTTTTATCATCCAGTTATATGTAAGCAAAATTAGTGTCTTTTTTTTCCCTTGCATATGTAAAAAAGATCAGCGAGCGCTTAAAAATCGTACAGCAGCAAAAAATTGTACCAAAAAGGAACCTGTAACCTTCAAATAGCATATGTGATAAGAGATTGCAACACTATGAATTCAACCAATATAATGCAAAATGATGGAGATGTAAAATTACGTAAAATGTGCCAAGTGCGTATATTTGTGTAGTATTTTCAAGGTGAATTTTCACCACATTTATTAATCTAAGATAAAATTCCCTTAGTAATGTGAAAATTCCCTTTCC